GAGCCATTGATCTCACCAAGGCCTTTGACCCTGAGGAGCTGAGGGCTGCCTCTGCAGAAAGGGAAAGAGAGTTCCAGGCCTTCCTTTCAAGGTACTAGAGAGAAAGGAGAACATGACTTTGTGGGGGATGGTAGTGAAGGATTGTGGTGACTGAGCCAGGAGAGCAAGCCCCTCTGACTTTTTCTGTATCCTCTCTTCTTCTGTCCTCTCCTACTCCAGGAGCCAGTCCCCAGCTGACCAGCTGCTCATAGCCCCTGCCAACTCCCCCCTACAGTATCCTCTGCAGGGTGTGGAGGTTCAGCCCCTCAGGAGCATCTTAGTGCCAGGTGGGGAAGAGGATGGCCTGGGTCACTATTAGGGGGGCAGTGCCCAAGGTTGGGTAGAATGGAAGGTGAGGATGACTTCTGATGAAAGGGAACTTGAGGAGGAGATGGGGGAGAAGGGATTCTAGGGTTGTCAGAAATTACAGAAGACTGTAACTGGGGAGGTTTGGGAAAAAGAATCTATTATTTGCTAACTGACCAAAAGTTAGTTGGATATGTAGGTTAGGCTATGAAAGAAATACCATTTTGATAGCAGGAAGTAAAAAATCAGTTACTCTAGGCTATGTTATACTCTAGGCTTCTTGCTGAAGCCTCAACAAGATGGATGGGTGAAAAGTTCTATGTTGTGTGTGGTGAAAGAGGCAAGAGAAAGTGAGAAAGAATTTAGGGTTGTCTGTGTGGTTCTAATCCTCCATCATTCCTCCCAGGGTTGAGCCTGCAGGCAGCTTCTGGTCAGGAGGTATACCAGGTGAGAGAAAACAGAACAAGGAGACCAGGTGGGCATGAGAATGCTGGGAGGGAGACAAGGCCATCAAGGGAGGGATGGAAGAATCAGGGAGACAAGAGGTGGGCCTGGGGCCTGACCCTACACTTTCTGATCTCCTCTGCCAGGTGAACCTGACTGCTTCCCTGGGCACCTGGGATGTGGCAGGGCAAGTGACTGGAGTGACTGTCATTGGAGAAGGGCAGCCAGATCTCACCCTTGCCAGCCCAGGGCTGGACCACCTCAACCGGCAGCTACAACTGGTCACTTACAGTAGCGGAAGCTACCAGACCAACACAGCAGACACAGGTGTGAGACCTGTATAGAGGTAGGGGAAGGCTGGATGAACAGAAAAGATGGAGAAAAACTGCTGTAGGCAAATATCACAGGGTGTGGGAGGTACCCAGGCAATGGCCAGAGCTGCCTGGCCACACAATGGGTATTTCAACAGGGCAAGCAGGGCCAGAGAGGGAGAGAAGGGGCCTTTGTTCATCTGGGGCCAGAGCAGGTTAGAAAGAAACCTGAATCTTGAGTGTGTCCCCACTTCTGGCCAACCATGACAGGCCCCAGGAAGTGACCTGCTCCTAAGCCAAAAGACTCAGGCTCTATTCCCAAAACATCACTTGCTAGAGGGCAAAGTTCTTAACTTCCAGAACTCCCATTTTTCCTCTAGCAAAAGGGGCATAACACAGCCCTCCTGCTCCTCTCCAAAGTTTGTTACATAAAGTTTTCTCCTATCTTAGGGTCTTTGCACTTGTTGTTCCCTCTATCTGAAATGCTCTTCCCCAAGATTTCTGCATGGCTGGCTCCTTCTTGTCATTTAGATCTAAGCTCAAATGTCTCCTCTACACTATTACTTTGTCTTATTTTCTATTTGGTACTAAATAGTATCTGAGCTTTCTTACTTAGCCTGGGACAAGATAGACTAGGTTCCTATCAGCTTTCTTGTTGTGTAAGTGTGGGCAAGTTACTTTTCTGTACTTCACCTTCTTTTTCTGTAATAGGAATTTACTTACTGGGGCTATCAAGAGAATTAAAGTAATTCATATATTTAGCATAATTTAAGTGTCTGGAACATAGTGAATGCTCAAAAAAAGCTTAGCTTTTAATTAACACTTTTTCATTGTCTTTCTCCCTACCCATTAGGAAGTTCCATGGGGCTAACAACCTAGTATTCTTGACCACTAAGACCTAGAAAGGCAGGACAAAGAGTAGGCACTTAAATATTAATTAATGGACTGAAAAGAATGTTGTCCCAACTTTAAGGGCCCAATCTCATGTCCTTTCTCCCCAGTCCGGTTCTCCACCCAAGGACATGAGGCTGCCTTCACCATCCGCATAAGACATCCCCTCAACCCCCGACTGTACCCGCCTGGGTCTCTACCTCAGGGAGGTGAGGATAGTGGGGGCAGGGAAGAAGTAGTACAGCTTTGGTGGGAAGTAAGTTGGGCTGGTGTGGGCAAGGAAGTAGTAGGTCCTGCCCTGGTGGGGAGTAAGTTGGGACAGGGTGGCCCTAATAAGGGTTGTCTTCCTGCTTCTCTTTCCTCAATCTTCTTGTCTGCATCCATTCCTATGTCCTAGCAGGCCAGTACAACATCAGCGCTCTGGTCACCATTGCCACCAAGACCTTCCTTCGATATGATCGGCTACGGGCACTCATCGCTAGCATCCGCCGCTTCTACCCCACGGTCACCGTGGTCATTGCTGACGACAGTGACAAACCAGAGCGCGTTAGCGGTCCCCACGTGGAGCACTATCTTATGCCCTTCGGCAAGGTATGCTGTCAGCCAGGCTGACCTGGGGCGCAAGAAGACTCTGGGAGGGGGCGTTTCTTCAGTCTGCAGCCAGGTTAGTGAATCCAGAGGGTGCCTGTTAAGCATGAGGATTCCTGGACTGTGAACTCTGTGGAAGAAAAAATTATGTTTCTCTTATTCGTTCTGCATTCTTAGAATGATGCTTATTAATGCCTACCAAGGCGTTCAATAAAATAATTAATGAAGGAATAAGATGCATTCCAAGACCCTCCCCCAGAACACTGACTCAGAACCTCTGGGAATGGGGATGGGAATCTGAAATTTTTTTAAAAACCTAGCTTCTGGACATTGGAAAGTCTGGAGCGGTGCACAGGCTTTTGTGAGGAGTGGGGGGGGGGAGGGGAATGAAAGGTGGCAAAGAGGCATATTCTATTTCTCCAGACGCGCCAACTGTACACACCTTTCCTGCAGGGCTGGTTCGCGGGCCGGAACCTGGCCGTGTCCCAAGTAACCACCAAATATGTGTTGTGGGTGGACGATGACTTTGTCTTCACAGCGCGCACGCGGCTGGAGAGACTTGTGGACGTTCTGGAGCGGACGCCGCTGGACCTGGTAGGAGAGGGGCCATGGAATGTAGGGTAGAAGGGCCCTAAACAGGTTAGGGCTCCGGTGGGAGAGCGGCGGTTGAGAACTACCAGCCTTAGCACAGAGAGAGTCCACAAAGTGGAGTCTGGGGGACTGTCTGCATTCTGTACGGGTGAAGCAGAAAAGGATGTGGCAAGGTTAGGAGCCTAGTCCCACCTGGAACCATCCTCCCACTTCCGCAGGTTGGGGGAGCAGTGCGGGAGATTTCGGGTTTTGCTACTACTTACCGGCAGCTGCTGAGCGTGGAACAAGGCGCCCCAGGCCTCGGGAACTGCCTCCGGCAAAGGCGTGGCTTCCACCACGAGCTCGTTGGCTTCCCAGGCTGCGTGGTCACCGATGGCGTCGTCAACTTCTTTCTGGCGCGCACTGACAAGGTGCGAGAGGTCGGCTTCGATCCGCGCCTGAGCCGCGTAGCACATCTGGGTGAGTGGCGCCTCCTCCCGGCAAGGCCTGGGAAGGGCACACGCACACACACACTCCGCAGGAGCTGGGCGATGTTTGGTCACCAGGGTTCGCTGGAGCAGTTCTGCAAGGATTTACCAAGACCAGCACCCGGGCGAGAGACAGAGCTCCCATCCTCTCCTTCCACCCCACGCATTCCTTTTAGACCCCTGCGCCCAGCACAGCCGCTGGGTTCACCTTGAACTTCTCTGCCATAGTCACTACCCTTTACTCTACTCCCAGCCGCTTCTCCTGATTCAAACTGCATTCAGAGCAACTCTTGCTGCACTTATTGAACCTCTTAAAGTGGGGAGGTCATGTCTTTCCAATTTCAAAGCACAAGCAAATCGATGCCATGTTTTACACAGAGTAAAACTGAGACTCAGAAGGGTTAATGTGCATGCCAGAGTTCTTAGAAACTGAGTCTTTGTAGGCACCCTCAATACCCTACATTTCAGTTCTTCCTTGTGGGTTGACCTTCTGCACTCTCAGGAGCCTTCATTATTTACACCCCTCCCCTCCAACCCCAGAATTCTTCTTGGATGGGCTTGGTTCCCTTCGGGTTGGCTCCTGCTCCGACGTCATTGTGGATCATGCATCGAAACTGAAGCTGCCATGGGCATCAAGGGATGCTGGGGCAGAGACTTATGCCCGGTTCCGTTACCCAGGATCACTGGACGAAAGTCAGGTGGCCAAACACCGCCTGCTCTACTTCAAACACCGGCTGCAGTGCATGACCGCGGAGTGATGGCCACTTGGGCCTTCCCCCTGTCAGGCTGGGCCTGCTTCCTTGTCCCTGCCATGATTGTCCAACCAACCCTTTCATCCAATGAGCACTCCTCTGAAGATCTCTGACCACTTTGCCCCTCCACCCTCCCCTTCAGAACCTGATCCCAAATAGGGGTTTGTCCTGGTGACACCCCTCCTTTCTGTGAGTGCCCAGGGGCCTGAGGAGCCATAACCTCTCCCACAGCCAGTGCCAAGTCCTCCCCCCCACCCCATTCTTATGGGGCAGGAAATGGGGGGTGGTAATTTTTCCAAGTGCCAAAGAGCCCAGGAGGACTCTAAAACCCTGAAGTGGAAACACTCTCCTCTTGCCTCCTTGGGACTGAGGGGGTGAGAAACCTCCCCATTGTGCAATCCCAAGGCTGTGCCTCCCCACCCCCAGCTCGGGATCCAGGACTCTGTACCAGCTCCAGCCCACCCCCACAGAGACAACTTGTGACTCTGGAGTTGGGAGGGGCTGGTGAACACATGGTGAAAGCCATTTTTACTCGTGTCTCTGTGATGCTGTGGGCAGGGAGGGAGGGGCACCTGGGGGCCATGAGGAAACATCCAGACCCACTTCATGGATCCCAGAGGGTTTCAGCTTCATTTTATTCATTACATTAGGTAAGGGAGCTGAAGGATCATGGCCTTCTTCAAACACACACATAGACACACATCATTGGAGACCTTCATACTCCAAGTGACATGGTCATATCCATACTGTGCAAATCGTTGAGCCAGTGAGTTCCTGGAGACGAGAGTGGACAGGTTGGGAATAGTTTGAGTACCCCTTCCCTCATGGAGATTTGGCAATGCTCTGAGTGTCACACCACCCACTTTGGAACGTTAGTTCTTTGTTTCTTCACTCATAGCTTGGCCCAGTTTTCCTGACTTGTCTTGAATCTGCTAATCATCTCTTCCCCATCCTGTCCTTCATGATCTTCCTTCTTTACTGAAACCTTTCCTGAAACTCTCTGAATCTTCAGGCACTCACCTGCCTCACCCCCTTGTCCTAGTGTAGCACCTCCTGGCTCCCACTCCAGACGCTGCTGCCCCTTACCAGTTTCTCCAAGGCATGAGCAGCTGCATCCTGGACACTCACAAACAGCTGTTGTGGGGTCACTCTGTCCAAGACTCCTGCCCGGGCCAGTGTCTCCAGCACAGAGGCTGTGTAAGGAAAGTATCAGGCTCTGGGGCCCTAGATCCACACTGTGTTCTCTTTTATTCCCCAAGTGTCCAGTCATTCTCTAGTCAACAGTCCCTCCATCCTCCATACCACTCACCATTACATTGAGCTAGGAGAAGGTGGATCCCTACATCCCTGCATCGGCTAGCTAGCTGCAGAGATGAAGCAGAGGGGTTGAATCCCAAATCAGAATATAAACAGGATGATAAATGGGTTTTCGTCAACCTACCCCCTCCCTCACCTGTGCCACTTCCCTGGCCCCAGCAGCATCTGCAAAGGTGACACCACTGAAGTCTAGGACCACAACTCTGACAGGCTCAGCAACTAGGATGGGAGAAGGCAGGAGTACCAAGATACCAGCATGGGTCATGCCCAAATCTCCCTCCGTGTCATCCCATCTTACCTGTGTCTGGTAAGTTACCTGGCTTTGGAGATGCCTATAAATAGAGAAGAGTGGCCACCACGACCCCCAAAATAAGCATGAATGTATACACCTCTTGAGCACAACAACCCACCTCAGAACATATCTGCTTCCAAATCCCAGAAGACTCACTCTGCTCCTTGGCCAAGTTCCTTACCTTGCCTCCTTCTCCAAGCCCCAGATGCCACTCCAAGATGCGGCGAAAGTTCCCACGAGTCCCAAAGTAGAGTGGTGTTGGATATCTCAAGATACAGAGACCTGGGACCTGGAGGAGCTAAAAGCGAGAGGGTCATAGAAACATCCAGGTCTAATATTCTCTTCCTTTTTTGGCCAAAGCCCACTCACCCTATGGCTCTCTCTGAGTGGCCGGTAGAGTTCTGTTCCCTCAGCCAATCCAAGTGCTAGGCACTGGACCCTAGGGAAAAAGCTGGGGTCAGATTTTCAGCCTAACCTGGTCTGACCAGAGAGTTACCCCTCATACCTGGTCTCTCCCTCTCCTCATCTCAACTCTGCCCATCTTTTTGCCTACCTTTGCGTGCGGCAGACCACTGTCATCATGGAGAAGATCACACCCACGGCCAGACCCAGGTCCACATTCAGTGTCACTACAGCTACCCATGTGACTATCCACACAGCCTGTAGGACACAAATAGGGGTGGACTGCCCAGAAGAAAGACTGATCCAATGGCAGTGACTATTAAGGCAAGTGAGGGAAAGGGGGACGCAGAAAAAAGTAGGAAGCATGGTAGAAGGAAGAGGCAGGACTGACTCACTGATATACACCTGGGACCTTGTGCCAGTTGGGAGGTTACAAATATTCTGAGGAGTTCAGACCCCACCCTTTAAATGGTTTTAGGAAGTGTATGTGGTGGTGGAGGATGAGTTGAAGGACTTAGGACAGTTAGCATTGGCCCATGGTAGAGACTGGGGATACAGAGGATGCTGGGAAGATGGAAGGGGCAATCTGGGGTAATGCCACCACTTCTCACAAAGTCCATGCGACTGATGTGCCATAGCTGTGGAAGTTCCTGCATCTGGAAGAACATCTGGCGCATACTGGAGATGTTGATGCAAGCCAGGACAGCCTTGGGGCAGAGGAGGTGGGCTGACTGCCACAATGTCCCGGAATACACCACCACCCCTGATATGGCCATGCCTCTTCATCCCCCTACCTTTGGCAGATAGTAGAAGAAGGGTCCCAGCCACAGCAGCACCAAAAGGACAACTATACAGGAGAAGAGGCCTGCCAACTAGCGGGAAGGAGGGATGGAAAAAAGGAAGGCAGGTAGAAGATTGGTAGATACCCCAGTAGCATCCCTCACCCCCATGAGAGAGCTGGTCTCTCTGCCTGCTCTGCTTCATCTTCCTCAGAAGTCCCCCTCCTCCCAAACCTCTTTCCACATGGGTAGACCACACTCCTAACCTCCTACTTGATATTCAGCTATCAACATCCCTCCCTTTCCCCCAATTAAATGTCCATAATTCTCCAGACTACCCCAGATGTTATGTAGTTTATCTGTTTTGTTTCCTATTTTGGTTCATTTATTAAGATTCCTATTTTTGCAGCCTACCTCCATCTTAAAAGCCACTGTTGAATCACCCTATAAGCAGGCTAATCACTGCTTAGAGCATCAGCAGAATGAGGAAAAAAATATATTAGGGGAAGACTTTGAAATGTGATACTTCTTTCTAAACAAAATGTCCTCATGGGGCTATTGCCTGAAGGGTAAGAGAGAATGAAAAGACACAAGTACTTTTTTCTCCCACCTTTCTCACCAATATCTCCTCTTGTCCTGCCCCACCCTATTTGCTCTGCCTCCTCTATCTCCCTGCAGCACCCAACCTATCCTTACCATGGATGCCTCCCTTTCCAGATTTCCCCAACCCCAGATACCCCAGTAGAAAAAAACAATTTCATCTCTTAGACTTGTAGTTTAGTGTTGTGTTTATTTATATTAGATCTGGGGCACCATAGACTTTTTCAGTGTTTAAACTCTACAAAGGTCTCTATGGAGCCTTGTTATCATCTCTCTCTCCTCTCTATAATCCCATCCCCTCACTCATCCTCCCTCTGATTCCCATTCTCCTCTCTATAGATGCTATTGGGGTATCTACAAATCTGTTTCTCCACTATAGCCATCCCAGCCTGAATGTCTCTCCTCACCTAAGGACACCCTCTTACCTGTGTATTCCCACCAGCGTCCACTAGTAGGCTCGTTGTGGCCAGTGAAGCAGAGTTGGGAAAGCAAGAGAAGAAGGAGGAGATGAGGTTGGAGACGCCATGGGCCAAGAGCTCCTGGAGGGATGCAGTGAGATGAAGAGAGATACATAGGGGAATAAGGCTAACGGGGTGTCTTCTAAATAGGGCTATACTTATTATAGTTATACAGTTGGAGTCATACCTGGTTGGGGTCAATAGTGTAGCTATACTTGTCTGCATACATGGAGGCCAGGGAGGCCGACACAGCAAAGGTAACCAGTGCGATGGGCAGCGAGTCAGCCAGAATCCTGGGCAGCTCAGCCAGACTGGGGAGGAGGGGTTGGGGAAATCTGGAAAGGGAGGCATCCATGGTAAGGATAGGTTGGGTGCTGCAGGGAGATAGAGGAGGCAGAGCAAATAGGGTGGGGCAGGACAAGAGGAGATATTGGTGAGAAAGGTGGGAGAAAAAAGTACTTGTGTCTTTTCATTCTCTCTTACCCTTCAGGCAACAGCCCCACTATCTGAACGTTGTATTTTGTGTCCAGGGAAGAGGTGAAGCAGAGCACGGAGGCCAAAAGCACCTGGGGAAGACACCACATTGGGGTCTAGGAGGAGATGGGGCCCATGGCAAAGCTAGAAGGGGCTCAGCATGAAAGAGGGTCACATGCGGGTCTAGGCAGTTTGGAATGGATGTTTGACAGCTAACTCATTTAGAGTGAAGGAGTGTGGGCATGGGAAAGAATAATGAGGTAAGCCTAGAGCTATGGAGAAGTAAGAGGGAGTTCCTATGAAGATAAAGAATATCAAGAGGTGCAACAGCCATTTTAAGCAGGGAAGCTGGACCATATCTGGCCATATGTGGGGAATCTGTGGAGACATGTAAATGTCCACATGTAAATAGTGTGGAGATATTTATTTAATTGGGAAGAGAGCAACCTAGGTAAAGAGTAGAAAGGGAGATACACTGAATTACAGTGAAGGATCCCATGAGGAGCGGTGAGAGGAGGTGCTGAAGCGAGGGAAACCGCAAGGGGGCTCTGCAAGGAGGAAGAAGGCGTTCTAAAGAGTTCTAGAGGGGGCTCTGAGAGAGGAGTGATACAGTGAGGATGGGGATTCTTCAGGGTCAAACTGTTGTGGGAGGAGGCCTAGAAAAGTATGGCTGTGTGCAGGACCTCTCGCTTGTGATCTCTCTGAATTTCAAAAGGGGGCGGCAGCAGCCAGTTCCTACAGGATAGGCGGGGTACGTGAGGGGCAAGGAGTCAAGAAGGCCCCTAGGCCATCCTCACCATGACGATTTCCCCTGGAATCGGGGTAGGTAGCCTGTCTCGGAATCTCACGTTCAATTCCTTGACCGGCACAAGCAGCGCCAGGCTGAGAGCCGATATGGTCAGTTCGGCTGGACTGCTCCGGGGCAGCGATGTGAGCACAGCTGCCAGCGTCTGTGGGCAGGGGCCGTGAGCAAAGGGCCACCTGCCAGGTTTGACTGCCCCCTCTCTGCCCCAGCGCCCACCCACCAGACCAGGCAAGGCCTTCTCTCCCCATGCCACCAGGGTTTCCAGATCCGCAGCGCCCCCACGTAGCCTTGTAGTTCTTCAACCGCTTCCCTTCCTCCCGTTCACACACTACCCCTTCACCCTCATCTCTTCTCCCTTTTCGGGTTTCCCTCTTCCCGAGACCTCTAGAAGCCTCTTCTCCGCTGTTTTCCCACCCCCACCTTGAAGAGAGAGAAGCAGCCGATCTGGCGCGGAAGAGACAACCCCAAAAGGCTTGGAAGCTGGGATACAAGCACGTGCAGCGCGGCCCCGCTGGTCAGCGCCTTGACCACAGGTTCCGACAAAAAGGTGGACAAAACGCCAAGCTGCAGCACGAACATCCCCAGCTGCTGGGGAGAAGATGTGCACTCACCAACAGAAGTAGGAACCGACCCACCAGGGTGCAGTGCTCCAGCTTCCCCACTGCAACCCAGCCCAGCGGAACCTGAGCGGAAGATTTCCCCCTCTCTCTTCCTTTGTCCAATTCCCCTGGCCCCAGCGTGGCTCCATTCCCTCAGGGGCTTCTTGGGATCCTCCCTCACCATGAGCGCCCCACTCCCGAAGGCCACTGCGGCGGCCGCCCCAACCCGCTGAGCGTCCAACTGCTCCTTCTCGATTCCACTCAGGTTCCGGCTGAGGGGTTCGGGCACCAGCCGCTCTACCGCGGAGCCCGTCATGAGACTGAGTACAGCGAAAGTTCCTGGAGCCGGGGAACAAACGGCGAAATCACCAACTGTGCTGAATCGGACGGCCAACAGCCCAGGCTCCGCTGTTTGGAGCCAGGGTTGCTGCTGCCTGACCCCGCTCTCCTAGAAAGCAAAACTGCTGCCCGCAGTGAAGACCGTGGGGGCCATGAGCTGTCAGGAAACCGTGGGCAGGAAGGAAAGGAGAGCGCACCAGGCAGCAAAAACTGCCCCTCCGCAGACTCCCGCTGGACTGGGTGCTCCTGTGAGGGGTCTCGCATCTCTTCTTCCCCTTCAAGTCCTGGAGATGTTCATGTTAACCAAAGTTCACGAGGGGAAAATATCCAAGTAAACTCCCTCATCCGTACCGGCTCAAGCAGAGTTCTGTGGCAGAGTGGCATCCAGAGGGAAGGGAAGGTGGAAGAGGTGAAGAGGAGAATCGAACTGGGAGCTTACAAGAAAGACGCTTCAAACCCTGTTCATTCTCACCCCAAAGAAGAGTCATTAGTAGAACCTGACTACTCACCGGTAGACAGGTGTCTCCCAGTACCCAGCAGGCTGTAGATGAGAACGGGAAAGAAAGAAGTGTAGAGTCCGAACACTGGAGGTACCGAGGTCAGGAGGGCAAAAGCCATACCTGGGGGAGAAATAGAAGGGAAGGTCTGCGGAGGGCTGGGGAGTCCAGCCCTGGTCCTGGCACCAGGGATACTAAACTGTGCTGGCATGAGGGAACTGAAGGGGTTAATGGGCCTCCGTGGGAGGCCCTGAGGCTGACAAGGTCAAAAATCGGTGTCGCCAAGCTCCTGGGGGGCAGCCCTAAGCCTCTCTTCAGTTCCCAGAAGCGGAACCAGTCTCGCAGGATTGAGCAGATGAGGAGAGGTGGGGGTGGGGATCTGATGAAACCCCACAGTCCTTCTTGGTCCCTCTCTCGAGCATTAACCCACAACCTCACTCCCGGATTCCCAGGTTCTCATGCCTTCTCCTTGAATCCCTTTAAAGTTTGAGCTGTCGCAAGCTGGTATTGGGGCCTCTCACCCTGGGGTACGTGTACAACGCCCACGGTCACTCCGGCCACAGCATCCCCGAGTAGCCAGGCCCGCCAGCGGTAGAGGGGCAACCAGCGCAGTGGGGGCAACCGAGCCTGCAGCAGGCGCCACGCCCCCGGCCTGGAACAGGCGCTGGCGGGTCTCCTCCACATCCTGCACAGCTTTGGCCCGACGGGCTCAGTCGGTAGCTCCTGAACCTGCTCTTCATCCCCGAAGAGCTGCTGGAACCGAGCCTCGGTAAGGGGCTCCCTGAGCCTGGTGCCCAGTGGGTACTTAAGGTCTGAGGCCTCTCCTGGGCTTGAGCAAGTCCTGGCACCCAGTAGCCCACTCATTTTGTCCTTGACTCCTTCCAACTCCTCACGGTCTTAAATACACCTTCCTCGGCTAGCCCAGAGTCCCGCCTCCAAGAAGCAGGGTCCAATCCGGCCCTGGAGAACGCCATTTCTCAGGGACCTTCAGGTCAGCCTTGGGAGGGGAGAGTCCTCCCGTTAGGCGTTTCCTCGGACATCCTTGGCCGGATCTGACAGCTAGCCCTGCTATGAGGGTAGCTGAGGAAAGATGTAGCTATCAGAGACAGGCCAAAAGACAAGTGAACTAACAACACCCACTCTCAGACACTCCTAAGCCTTTTGATTTCCACACACCACACCCCGCTTCACTCTGGCTTCCTTTCACCGTCTGCACTTTAAGCAGAGACAGAATCAGGCTCCTCTGGAGTCACTGATCCTTTCCTGACGGGTTGCATTCTCATCGTTTCAGAGCATGAAAATTCAGCACTTGTTGGGAGTCCCATCCCAGACCTAATCCTGATGTAGCACAGCTTGCCACAAGAAAGGAGCTTTATTGGATTCAACAGTTTCACAAATTACTGAAATGGGAAGCAGCTACCTGTATTAGACAAAGACAATGACAAACTACTACCCCACACCTCTGCTGGGAGTGGCTGGGCTGAATTTAAGGGAAACACTGAACTAATAGGAAATTTTATCTTCAGTGCCAAAACAATGAAAAAAAAAACCCCGAAAACTCTGAAGCACTTACTGTTTATTACACTTATTACATAATACCTGAATGCTATTCTCAAAGTAGACACTCAAAAATACATGCATGGTTAAACTAAGTACAATGGGGTCAACCACACACCTAATGTATCCCTGTGGACCATAAAGAAAAACAAAGGTTCTGAGCTCCAGAATCTTGCTATTTGCTGCTATCCCCTCCTCCATTCACAAGAATCTTTGGCACCCCTCCCCATCAACCTCTGGTCCCCCATCCCTGACCCCAAAGCCCCAGGGGTGGGGTGCAGAGAGGGTGGGTCTCCCCTCTTCAATTCCTCCTATTGTTCCCCAGAAATCTTATCTGGGTCCTACGTCCTGTCTCCCCATTACAGATCCCTCCCTTCATTGTCAGCCAGAGGGACCTGGGGCCCACAGGGAGACTCCAGCATCTCCTCACCCTCCCACCCCAGCAGTCTATTGTCTGCTGAGGAAGCCCCAGTACACGTGATGGAACCCAGGGGACAAACGGACACAGTGGACATACAGATGCACAGGACCAGAACAGGGCATGTGAATCTCTGTATGTTTGACTCTGTGTTCCAGGGGCTGTGCCAGAAGTTGGTAGGGGTGAAGACCCCTTTGGACTCTCCACTCTTGGATCTGGGTTTGAAGAAAATCTCTGCCTGTGCAGCATGGACATGCCCTATGACCTCCCAGAAAGCAAAGAAGACCCAAGTCAGGAAGGGGCTCAAAACTCCAGGCTCTTCTTTACCTTCCCGTTCTACATCAGCAGAACACAGAGGCCTCAGAAGGAAAGGTATATTGGGTATTTTGTCCTTTAGTATCTGGGTATTTGAAGAATGATGGGAAGTCACAGGATACTGAGTCTTCTGGTGGGTCTAGACCAGAGGGTGAATGGGAAGGAAAGAAGGGTTGGATAAAAGGGAGAATACATCGAAAATAATGTAGGGTTTTCTAGTGGCCCAAAGTCCCAACTCTGGTTTGTGAGATGCTGCAACTGCAGTTAAGGACAAAGATAACAGTATCTTTTATCTTATACCTTGTGCCCTGCTCCTTTCACCAAACCCCTCCTAAAATAACGGGGGCCAGCTGATCTTTTCCATAACACTTCATACCCACTGCAGCCTCTCCTTCCCTCTGCTAAGACAGCAGCCTCAGTGATATAACAAAACCTTTATTCTCAGAAAACAGAAAAAAACAAAATCAAAACCAAAACCAATAATTTCTATCTGGCCCCTGCCCCAGGCTTCCCTCTGGACCACCCATATATCTTCATTTTGGAGGGACCATGATGCATGCATAGGGGTGGAGCTGAAGGATCCTGGGTTCCTGGGTTAGAAAGAAGTCCTTTTGGATCTAGGTACTGTCCTCCGAGTTGACATCTTTCCCAGCCTTGCCCACCCTGCAGACATAATAAGAAGGAAGAACTCTGGAGTGAAACCAGAGGATTGCCCTGAAGTTCCTTGGGGAATAGGTGGCTGAGTCAGCACCACCCCGTGGCCTTCATCAGTTACAGCTCATCTTCATCCAACTTGGCAAGTCTGGCCTGACAGGGAGGGGTGTTTGGTGTTGGAAGGACTGGAGAAGAGCCATGGGGTGCCTGGGAGTTGTCACCAGGGGCCTAAAGAAAGATTCAAGTCAGAGGATCAACAAAGACCATCAATCTACCTTCATTCCTCTTTTCAGTTTAATCCCCTAGCCAAGTCACCTCCCCTTTCCCCAAAGGTAAATGGAGGGATAAGAAGTAGAAAGGGGTACACAAAAGGTGGTGGAAGAAAGGAATGATATGGAAGGGGTTGGGGATCCACAAACAAAAGAGGCCCTCCCCATTCTGCTTAAACAGAGAACTGTGTTCCTTATACCTGTGTGTCCAGAGACAGCGGGGCTCTGGCCACTTCCCCTTTGGGCAACAACAGTAGGGAGGGGAGAGAGCCATTGATGGGTGTGTGTGTGCTGACTTGAGACCGGTCTCCAGTACGAATTCTCCCAGGGCTCCCTATCCCAGGCCCTCCTAGCCGCCCCAGGCTGTTGGTCTGGCTTTCCCGTCTCTGGTACTCAATGGGTGACTGCAATGCTGAGGCAAAGAGAGGAACAGAAAGAGTGTTACAGCAGAGACAGGTCCCTTTCTTTAAGGGCTGTTTGTGTCATCCTCCAATTTTGCCCTCCCTCCAGCCTGAGGACTCTCAATGTAAAGTGTTGGGGGCTTTAGAGGATTTTGAGTTACCAAATCTTGAGTTAATACGCAAAACTGGAAGTGGAAAGAAGCTGGAGTCAAAAGATAGGTGCTAGAGATTGGATGGTGAAGGACTGAAGAGGTCAAAGGGCTGAGGGAGTATGTGGAGGAGGGGGGAATGAGAGCCTCACCATTGAGAAAGTCCCGCTGGCTTTCCAGGATCTGAGCCACTTGTTTGATCCAAGCCTGACTGACTGTAGGGTCTGAAGCCTGTAGGACATAGCGCTGGATCCCACCTTCTGGCCCTCTGGAGGTCAGTGCAAAGCGGCAAGGGTCACCTTGGAGGTTCCCCTCCAGCCCCAGGCAGCTCACCTGGATTGGCAAATAAGAGATAGTCCCCTGGGCTGGGGCTGCAGCTTAGTGGGTTCAATCCTCAGCACCACATAAAAATAAAGAAAAAAGCTACGTGTGTCCATCTACAACTGAAAAATATTTTTTAAAAAGAGAGAGAGTCCCCAGATTCTTCAGATGCCTCCAACAAATCCAAGAGCCAGATATCATCTCAGAGACCTCACCCCATCCCAGTTGTCCTCTCCCCACCTTAATGCTGCTCTTGTACACATATCCAGGTTGTGTGCCACCTCGAGTTCCTCCTCCCAGAGCCTCACTGAAGATGATGATTTGCTCAAAGAGGAAGACTCGCCTCTCTCGACCCCGGGAGGAAAGTAGCCCGAGAGCCTCAGGTTCTGTAACCCAAAATGTGTCCTGGCCCAAGAGCTTCCCTTGAGCAGTCAGTTTGCCCTGGAACCAAAGAATATGGCCTTTAAGCTCAATAGGAGGAAAAAGGCAACTGTCTGCTCCTCCCTCCCTTCCTTCCTCAGTTCTCCCAACCAATTGTGGTATCAGTCCCAAAGAAGAAGATAATTCTCCAAAAGGACCTCCAGAGTGCCAAAACCAAATACAAAAGCACTGGGCTCCCAGACTCCTGCCCCATCTCCATACCTCAAATCCCCGAAGTCTCCCCAGAGTCATCATATCGTTGCAGCGCTTTGGCACAAAACACATGACCTCTACGGCTTGCTGGGATGCAGGTGAGAGGAACATTGTTGGGCAAAGAGAGGAATTATTGGAAAAAAAGGTTTATTCAGCCAGCCGCTTCTTCACACATCTCCACACCAACTGCCCCCCCCCAAAACCAGACAGTTCCAAACCACCCATGGGGCTGGAGGAACTCCCAAATATGGTGTGTCCTTGAGGATCTGGAGGTCCTTACCTCCAGCTCTTCAGTATCCATCCCAGCTCTACTGTAATACTTGAGAAAATCCTAAAATACAGAGAAGAAATGCTCAGGGTAGTCATGGGACACTATCAAATGCTCTCACCGCCTCTCCTAAGGACACAGGTGAGGACCTCCAAGAAGTATGGGGAGACTTGAGAACCCTGGGGAGACGACAGAGGAAACTGCTGTCCCAACAAGCTGAACCCCCTGGGAGAAGGTGATCCTGACCTTGAGCAGCAGTTGGTATTTCATTATCCGCTGCACAGGTTTGATGAGGAGGTCATTGAGCTGAAGTCGGTGCCCCAGCTGCTGCCTGAGCTCCTGAGGACAGGGACAGGGTAGTTATGCAGCCTGGAAAACCTGGTCATGCTGATTCTCTGTCTTCCTTCCCCCAAGGCACCTCTGCCACTGACCTCAAAGTAGCTGTCCCCAAACTCTGACACCACGTGCTCTGACTTGGGCTTATTCTGACAATATACCACGTACATATGCAGCCGACGCTCCTAACAGGAATAACAGAGAAAAGAAAGTAGGGTTAACTAGGAGGGAGGGCACTTCTCCAGATCACACTAAGCCATTCCCCAGCCCCTCCCCTCCTAAGCCCCACCCTCTGGAGCCTCACATGTTTGATGAATAGCTGAGCCAGCCAATCAGGATCCTTCAAACACCGCTGTAGCTCTTGCAGGAAATAGCTGGGAGGGTTGGTAGAGAAAGGTAAGTCAAGTACATTTCAGACTCCTTACCTCTCTAACACGTCTCTGGTTTCCAGCTGTGTGCCCTAGTTGTGTCCCCTACAACTCCAAACGTTCCTTGGTCTCATTGGGCTGGAGGCTGAGATACAGAGACTACCAGATGAATTGTCCCTCCCCAGGACCTGGCTCTCAGGGCTCCACAACTCACTCTCGGTGCCACTCAAAGATTTGCTGGATGTTCCCAAACACAATCCTGTCACGGCCTCGAAGACTCTCAGGGACCCCCTGAGCAGCCATGGTGGCCATGTAACCCTGTGGGAAGGTTGGAATGGAAGCATGAGAATGTAGCCCAGTCTT